TAGCCCTTGATGCCACTGACGAGTACAGGAATTCCTTAACATCTATGGGCCCTAGTGCTGTGCGAGTGGTATAGGAAAATCTATACTCATCAGCGCCATCTAGGGGCCCCAGTGCTGTGTGAATGGTATAGGAAATTCTCTACTCATCAGTGCCATCTAGTGGTGTTAGTGCCATGCAAATGGTATAGGAAATCCTTTAATTATCAGCACCATCTATGGGCCCTAGTGCTGTGCGAATGGTATAGGAAATTCTATACTCATCAGTACCATATATGGGCCCTAGTGCTGTGCAAATGATATAGGAAATTCCTATAGTCGCCAGCGCCATCTAGGAGCACTAGTGCTGTGCGAATGGTTTAGGAAATTACTATACTCGTCAGAGTCATCTATGGGGCCTAGTGCTGTGGAAATGGTATATGAAATTCTATACTCATCAGTGCCATCTTTGGGCCCTAGTGCTGTGTGAATGGTATAGGACATTCTATGCTCATTAGCGCCATCTAGTGGTCCTAGTATTATGCAAATGGTATAGGAAATCCTATACTCGCCAGCGTCATCTAGGGACCCTAGTGCTGTGAGAACGGCATCAGTTCGGCATATATAAATGAACCCCTATGTTGGCTAAGCCCTGAGTTCAGTAAACAGTTACCAAGGTTTTTTTGTTTTTTTAAATAAAACATTGTTTTCTCCTTTTTTTTTTACATCCTCTGTTGCATCTCAGTGCTGCTAATCTCCTCCATCCCCTATCAGCCGCTTCCTGTCTGCATGCACTTGCTCTATTGCCGTCTGTGCATCATTGCTCTGGACTAGCCTCCTGATAGTGAGCACAGTGGACCATGCCTGAGCAATGTGTGTCACCAGAAGGGGTGCAACTGACAGGGTGGCAACACAAAAGCACAATTGGGGGATAGTTGTCACCCCATAACAGGAAGACCTCCTGTTCCTCTCCTGGGGTGACTCAGGTGGGAGGCCATTAGCTAGGAAGAGCCTGAACAAGGACTTTCATAGAAGGATCATCAGTTATTATGTAAATTAAAGTTTGTTTGTTTTTGGGGTGGGGGGTTAGATCTATTGAAACCCTCTATCATCCATCCACCTTGGAAAGATCAGCAGTGGTTGAACTGACCCTTTAAAGGCACTTGCCAGTCAATATTGAAAGTTAAACCTATAAAACGTGCTCGGGGGACAAATCCTACCTGATTAGTAGTTCAGTTTTTCATCCGGTCCAGTTTAATGAATGTACTGCACCGCTCTCCCTTCTGTCTGTGTGATTCTGGACCGCGCCTGCTGGTGATGCTGGAACAATTGCCTTGTTGTCTCTCACATGCAGAACACCTGATGTACAAGAAAACAGTATTAAGTTGCTCACAGCCACTGATTGTATTCATAGCAGTATGTGAGATTTCAGTGTGATTGATGATACAGGAAGCAGAATGAGAGGAAATTACACATTACAAGCTTCAACAATTACGCTCCTGCTGCCCTGCTACTGACCCTGCATGAAGCTGTGTGTGTGTTCATTCTTCAGGGAATGACCCGGAACTCTGATTAAGATAAACTGGGTACATTTTACAACGAGGCTGTGTGTAGCGGATCGCATTGGCTCACTGAGTGCTTCCAAGTGTTGGTAAAAGTTGGTCTAAAGCTTAATCTGCTTTTAATTTGCCTTTCCTGGTTCCTCCCCTCCTCATCAACATGCTAATGAAGTACTTTCTGTTTTCATTATACACCTCATTTTAGACCCAGTGATGTCACGTCTCTGTGCTTCTCTGTGCAATGTAGTCAGATCATGGCTGGTAGGAGGATGCTATACATAGCTTGCTGAACACAGCAGATGGTCCTAGATAATGCCCACATGTAATGCTGAGCCTCAATGATTGAAAGCTGAAATCCACTGAATGAAAGGGGCTGGCCAGGGACAGTCAGGCTGGGGAGGAGTATGCCAGATTTAAGTTTTGCAACCTTTCTTCCCTCACACCACCCATAAAAAGTATGCAAAATCATGAGGCAGCCCTACAATGTAAGGGGGGGAGGGGATGCAAAAACACACAAGTGGGTTTCCATCCTTTGCACTGAAGTCCTCGCCTTTAAATCAGGACCCCCCTTTCACATCAGAATCCTCCCTTTCACATTAGAGTCCCCCTTTACATAAGTAGTCCCCCTTCAGATTAGAAGCTCCCTCCTTTTACATTAGAAGCCCTTCCTACATACCAAAAGCCCCACCTTTTAAGTCAGAAGCCCATCCTTAACATCAGAAGCCCCTCCTTTTACATCAGAAACCCCTCCTTCACACCAGAAGTCCCTCCTTTTACATCAGAAGCCCCACCTTTTACATCAGAAGTCCCTCCTTCACATCAGAAGACCCTAATTTATACCAGAAGCCCCTCCTTTTACATCAGAAGTCCCTCCTTCACATCAGAAGCCCCTCCTTTATATCAGAGGTCCCTCCTTTTACATCAGAAGCCACTCCTTCATATCAGAAGTCCCTCCTTCAAATCAGAAACCCCCCCTTCACATCAAATGGCACCCCGAACGCACCTCCGACCATAATGTGCTTGACCGCATGGTACCACATTGCAGCTAAAAGAGGTAGTGCACGCATTCCTTTTTTTAGCCGCACTACGACACACCGCATTGTTGTACCTTGCAGTTGAGTACATTGCGGCCAGAGGTGCATTTGGGGTGCCATATGATGTGAATTCATATGATTGGCAGCACAACTATTACGCTTGGTATGTGCGTTGTGCAGCAGCGTGCGTTAATTGCAAACGGAACCGTGCGAATAACGCACAAACAGTCCAATCAGGAGGGGAAGCGTGCGCAGATTCCCTGCTGATCGGAACAGAGGTCACCGGTTGGAGGAAAAAATCTGAAATGACCGGACCCCATGTCAGTCTATGGGGAATCAGATGGTAACGGACCGTCTGGAAAAGAGAGCAGAGTGATGGAGAGATGAGTTGATCACTGTGCTGCTTCTGCTTTTATTGTCCAGTCACAGATTTGGGGCGGGTTTAGGACATCCTGGGCTCAGAGGAAGTGGTTTGAATGATGTTGGCTATTAAACCGAGGATGTCTAGTGGCAAAAAGGTACTGCTGAAAAAAAGCATGCTGATAGGAGAGAGCAGAGTGAAGAAGAGATGAGTTCATCACTGTGCTGCTTCTCCTTTCACTGTCCAGTCGCAGGCTGAGGGCGGGTCCGGGACAGCCTGGGCTTGAGTAATGCTGATCATCAGACTAAGGACCTCTAGTGGCAGAAAAGAAGTACTGCGGGGCAAATCTCTGGATTTGATAGTGAATATTACCGGATAAGCTTATTTTTGCTCTTTCATTTTTAAGAGGCTATTTATTTTTTGAACTTATGATTTTTGAGTGGAGTTCTGCTTTAAGTCTACGAGCGCTATACATCGGAGCCTGTAGATTTGGGGAACCGGTTCAGCCGGGACATTTCCTGTTTACTCAAAAAAACTGCACCCATCCATCGAACTACCGCGACTCCACTTAATGACCGCACTCGATGGTGAGTTTCACAAGCCGCGGATTAATGAGTAACGCCGCACAAACACTCGTCCCTCACACCTAACGGTGAGGTCACCATTAATCAAACAGCGCACTCGTCTCTCTATTGTAAACGTTCAGTGGGTGATACAGCGGCGCCCCGTCAAATCTCTGACTGTCACCGGGCCATTTAATGTCACATATACATCAACCCACTTGTCAGTTTATATGAGGTCGGTCAGAAAGCCACTTATGCAAAATCAAATGTACTTGTATATACGATCTTCCACCCAAAACTAATGCTTTTGTACAATTATCCTTTAAAACTGAACTCCGGGCACAGAAAAGGTCACTAAATATATTCCTCAAGAGCCACAAAGGACATAAATCCGCCTTTGCAAACACAGTAATTACTTGGGAAAAGTAGCAATGACTGTGCTGTGCATAGACTATACAAAGAGCAGAGCTGTGGGAGGGGGCCTGCAGGCTCCACCCACTGCAGGATGCCTGCAGGAAACTACAGGAGGGGCGGAGACAAGACCAGTCACCCTGCACAAGTTAGAGAGGTCATCAGTGACCGGTTTTTATTAACCCCTTCATGACTGAGGCCCTTTTTTCAATTTTTGCACCCATGTTATATTCCACATTTTAGGCCTATGACTTACACTGTACGTCGTCAGTCACGAAGGGGTTAAGGAAGAGGCGGAGACAAGACCAGTCACCCAGCACAAGGGAGAGAGGGCAGCAGTGATTGGTCTTTATTACAGGAGGGGGCGGAGACAAGACCAGTCACCCTGTACAAGGAAAGGGGGCAGCAGTGACCATTCTTTATTACAGAAGGGTGCGGAGACATACCAGTCACCCTGCACGAGTAGAGAGGGCAGCAGTGATCGTTCTTTATTACAGGAGGGAGCGGAGACAAGACCAGTCACCCTGCACAAGGAGAGAGGGCAGCAGTGATCGGTCTCTGTTACAGGAAGCTCCAAGTTTCTGCACAGATCTGGTATACACAAAGCTCCCCAAGATTGAGGAAGAACACACATGACTCTTGTATGAGGACAGTATTTACTTATCCCGGGGGTTCAGCTTGGACTTTAACCTTTTGAACTTTCCGTCCTATCCTCACACTTGGAGTTCTGGATAACTGTATGTTTTTATAATAATACGCCTGTAAAATTATACATTGACATCTCTGGGAGGATTCGTAATAACACGTCCAGGGTATATTTTGTACACACGACCTGTACAGGTGTATTTTGGTGTTTCGGAGGCTGCAGTCTACAGTACAAAAGGAGCTGTGCATATTTGGTGATGAACATCATCTGGCAGCAGAGACAGTGGGAGAAATGGATCACCTTTAAATTCATCCTTAAGTATGTAAAAGCCTTAAAAGAGAACCATGGGGTCAGTGTTTCTCCCCATAGTTCTCTTAAGGGTCACAGGAGGACATATACTAACCTCCTCCCGTCACCCAAAGCTCAGTATAACGCAAGCTACAGCTCGCGGTATACTGAGATTGCCGCAGCCGGGACGGATCCCGACATTACTGTCTGCATCCACCCAGCTGTGTGACTGCCAGCTGGCTCTGCCTATCTAGAGGCAGAGCCAGCTGTACCCGCCCCCTCCCCCGTCCGTTCCACCAGTCAGCGCTAGAGGATCGGAGCAGGGAGGGGGGGAATCCCTGCGCGGAGCGGTGACTGATCAAGAAGTGAGCGAGCGACGGTATGTGTTCGCTCACTTCCCGATCTATTGAGCCGACGTGTTACAGTTTCATTGTCACACGTCGGCTCGAACTATTAGGATGAGTGATTTTCACTCACCTCATAGATCTCCTTTAACTGGCATCAAGCCTATCCAGATCGCCCACTCCATAACCATAGAGGAAGAACGTTATACAATCTTTGATCACATGGACCTCATATGGACATCATCAGTTCTATCATTAATGTTAATACGCTGACTATTATTCCTATTGGTGTTATCGTTTTAATATGCTGCCCCACTAGTGCCAATAACCAACCCCTCCTCTTTACTTCTCTCCGCCCCCTCTCCTACCATCCTTTCTACTTTTTTCTTTACCCTTCTAAAGTAAAATACTGCTACTTTGTTTTTACATTTTGTTTTATTGTTCTTCTCTTTTCACATGTTCCATGTGGTCATAACCTCTGCTTTTTATGCAATGTATAAAAGTATGTATTTACTGCAGTATGTGTGACTTCCATAAAACCTTGTAATAAACAATGAATACAATGAGAGCCTGTATTGTGAGAAAATATAGCCGCCATTACTGACATGTCCTGCCATTACTGACATCTCCTGCCATTGCTGACATGTCCTGCCATTGCTAACATCTCCTGCCATTGCTGATGTCTCCCGCTATTGCTGACGTCTCCCGTCATTGCTGACGTCTCCCGCCATTTCTGACGTCTCCCGAATGCCATTGCTGATATCTCCTGCCATTACTTACATCTCCTGCCATTACTTACATCTCCTGCCATTGCTGACATCTCATGCCATTGCTGATATCTCCTGCCATTACTTACATCTCCTGCCATTACTTACATCTCCTGCCATTGCTGACATCTCCTGCCATTACTGACATCCAGACATCACAACTCTCCAGGATGTTCCGGGAGTCTCCCGCTATTAGATAGCTGCTCTCGGATACCCGGGAGAGAAACATTTGCACCGGGAAAACCTTTCCGCGTTGTCTGTTTTTTGGGTTTTTTTCTGACAT